AAGGCGGTCCTTTGGCAGAGGACTGGGATCCGGAAGAATATGAAGACGTTATGAGGCTATGGCTCAACAGACTAAGACAAACTGCTCTTCATCCGGAAGTAGGCGTCTACGGACGACGAGTACTTGGAGGCAAGGAACGTCCTATGAGGACGGTAGAAGAAGTGCTGAATGCCATGTTGGAGCAAGGCGAGACTGCTATCAGGAATGATGAGCGGGCGTATCTTTTGAGCAAACTGTTTCTGGGCCAGTTATTTGAAAACAGTCCTCGGGTCAGAGAGGCCCTTGAGATTTGGGAAGAGGTGCAAGGCGAGTCTGCCAAACTGGTGAGAGATGCCCAGGCAGCACTTCAAGAGGCACTCCGTGAGAAGAGAGGAGCCAAAGATGTGAGCGATGCTTTAGAGAGGGCACAGGATGTGTCAGATTCAGACATTGAATCAGATGAAGAAGCGGGAGAAGAAGTTGGGAGTAAAGGCAAACTGAGCGAGCTGCAAAACCGGCTAAGAAACAGCCTTGAGCTGCATCATAAGGCTGTTTTCTTTTGTGCCAACGCATACTTTCAAATCAGGGATAACCAAGAGATGACGCTACCTGACTCGGAGGAATTCCAGCGCCTCAAGAAGCTTGAGGATGACGGCTACGAGAGTGCCAAGATGATCCGAAGGAAGATTCTTGGGCAGGGCCATCGCAAGGCCATGCGCTTCGTGAAGAAAATTGCCCTGAAAGCCAACGATCAGACGTTTGTTGAGATACCAGAGCTCATTCTGAAGAGCGAGAAGGGCATCGAAAGTGGCAACATTGTCGACAGTCTCCAGACCCTCTACGATGAGCTGAACGAGCAAGCAAATCTGATTGATGAATGGAGAGAGCAAGTCGTTCAGCTCCTTTTGCGCCCACTGGTTGACGAAGAGGAGAGCACCGAGACTACCGGAGAAGAGCTCGCAGACTCTACCAAAGTTCAAGAGGAACTGATGGTCTATGTTCAAGTTCTCCGGGCCATCATCGCAGACCGTCAATCTGTCATATCAGGTCAAACGAATGGACTGGTGAGGCACGAGATTGAGACGTCGATCCGGATGGCGAAAGAAGGAGATGGGCCTGCTCCTCAGAAACTGCTCGAGTTGGTCCGTAGACGCGCTGAAGTCAAACCTCAAACGGCCAACATATCCATGCGCAGCGCCATCAGCAAGCTACGCAGCTTGGTATCGCAACAAACCAGAGACACAAACCAGAGCCACAGAGAGATTTTGGAGTCTACCATTGCATCAAAGTTGATGAAGACGACTCAAACGCTTCTTGGGGAGCAGAGTAAGGCGGCGGTGGCTTTGGAAGCAGAAATCGAAAGCTTCACAAGAGTCATGAATGCTCGGCTGGATTACTATCGACAGCTGCAGGGCCTCTCAGATGATGTGATGCCTCTCGAAACCCCCAAGACCGAAGAGGCTATTGAAAAGGCGAAGAAAAACATTGGCGATGTCCACAAAAAGCTGCTGTCTGGCGAGGCGAAGCATCGATACCGTAAGTGGAACAGAAATCAAATGGCTATTTTCGCTCTGGTACTAACTATAGTGAACAGTCTTGAGCTTGAAAGAAACTGGATCCAATTCCAATGAGCCCCGGATGTGCGTCATTTGCCAGATGCCATTCGCGACGGGCGTGTTGACCGTGTGTGGCCATCAATTCTGCAAGGAATGCATCATGATGTGGTTCAAGGCCCACCGCAACTGTCCTGTCTGTAAGAGGGCTCTTAAGGCGGACAATCTTCATGACATCGTTATCAAGCCGAGACAGCTGCAGGTACACGGCGAAGACTCAAGTCTGCAGAAAGGAGACAACCATGACGATAGCCCGCAGGAGCGTCGGGGTTCTTCAAAGCAGACGATGCTCTATTCAGAGTTTGACGCTGGACAGCTTGAGCAGATGAAGAATATTGAGCTGGATGGACCCTCGTTTACGACAAAAGTCGATACCTTGGTTCGGCATCTGATGTATCTGCGCGAGTCTGATCCCGGCGCAAAGTCAATTGTATTCTCACAGTGAGTCCCAATTCCCTACTCTCCTTTTTCTTACTATCAAACGTATCTCAGCTCACCACTGTGCCAATCAGATATAAAGACTTTTTGAACATCTTACGCAATGCCTTTTCCCGCTTCCGCATTGGCTATGCTTCCATCGACGACCCCGACGGCATCACAAAATTCAAGGAGGACCCCGCCGTGGAATGCTTTCTTCTCCACGCCAGAGCTCACTCGAGCGGCCTGAATCTCGTCAACGCCAGCCACGTCTTCTTATGCGAGCCCCTTCTCAACACTGCTCTCGAGCTACAAGCCATTGCCCGCGTTGACAGAATTGGACAGCGCCACGAGACCACGGTGTGGCTCTACATTGTCTCCGGGACAGTGGAGGAGTCGATTTATAATCTCTCGGTCCGGCGCCGCATGGAGCACATGGGTAGAAACCTCAAGGGGAAATCCAAGGAGTCGACTCCGGAGCTGCTGGACGCGAATATCGAGGAGGCCAATACGCTCGAGTTGGAGCAGGCTGCGCTGTCGAAGCTCATGAGCAAGGATCGGTCTGCGGGTGAGATGGTGGATCGAAGTGATTTGTGGGAGTGTCTGTTTGGACATGTGAATGCGCAGCGCAGTTGAAGCTGATGCATGATGAGCTTGATGAGGAATAGGAGAGTATGAATAGATACAATAATGGCGGTTCAGTGTCAGGGGAACGAATTCAGCAACGGTATAATAGACATCACACGACATGTCCTTGGCCTGAGAAATTTGATACAAGCATATAAACAAGGCTTTGGTCTGGAATAAAAATATCATTATCATTTCTCCCCTCCCCAATGTTGTACATGGATTCTTTCTAGTGTTTTTGTATCCCAAACCGACCCGTATCCATCCATTCCAGCCCAGCAATCTCATGGTCGGTCGTGCTGCGTTGTCGGAAAGATTCGGTAAAACGAAAGTATTGCTACACATTACAAGTTTCCGCTACCATTCCACAGAATGGGAAGGTTGTTATACAAGGAAATAAATAACTCCCTCCGCCTTTCCCAAGAATAAGAAGAAGAAAAGAAAAAAAAGGTGCGGCAAAACATGACCCGTTTCAGTCCCAGCATCTCTTTTATTTTACTTTTTCTCCCTGTTTACTCAACAGTCTTCTTCTTGCTGCTGGCGCTAGACTTTACGCGCTTAGCGACAGGGCGGTTGATGTGGTGGTCAGGGATCCAGCTCTCGTCATAGGACTTGCCGGCGGACTCGGAGCCGGAAAGGGCGTCAGCAGGGTCGACGGGCTTCTGGACGGGCTTCTTGGTGGTACGAGGTCGCTTGGCCTGGGGGAACAGAGCCTCGATCCAGGTCTTGTAGACGAAGAAGAGGGTGCCGCCGAAAACAGCAGTGAGGACAAGGTACAGGAAGATACTAGAAAGACAATTGTGGTCAGCAGACAAGTCGCTGAGAGGGGGGTCAATGGGAGGAGTTACATCTGAGGGTCGAGGAAGCTGGTGGGAGCCTCGACAATGGACGTCTCGCCATCGTAAGCGGGGACCTGGAAGATGTCGCCCTTCTCGTTGGTGAAGACGGCCAGCAGACGCAGGCGAACATCCTGGGGGTTCATGTCGAGGGCAAACGAGAAGGGAATCGACTTTGTCTCGCCGGCCTCGATCTGCAGGCTGTACTGCACGGCCGTGAGGTTGCGCACGATGCCCTGGTAGGCGGGAGCGCCCTCGGGCAGGTCCTTGGTGGTCCACAGAGCGCCATTGGCAAAGATGACCTGGATGGCGTCGTCCTCCTTGTTGGTGACCTCGATCAGAGCGGTGGTAGGTCGGCCGTTGACCAGCTTGACGCCCAGGATGTCCGAGTCGGGGAACGTGGTCCTGATGTCGGCATTGAGGGTGGCCGGCGGCTGGATGAAGTCGGCAGCGGCTTCATCTTGGAAGTCCTCGGCATCAGCCTGCGGAAAAGACACCGCGTTAGTTGGGTTGCGCATGTTTGGAAAGAATTGTCGTGATCAACGCACCTGAGCGACTGCGCCAAAGACCTGCAAGGCCAGGAAAGCGAGGAGAGAAGACTTGAACAGCATTGAGACGAGAAGACGAACCCAGCGGCGGTCCCGGCCCAATTGATTTGAACCAAGGAGAGAGAAGAGGAAAAGAGGAGGGAAAGGGGGAAGAGCGAAGAAGAGAGAAGAAGAAGAAAGATGAAGCGGGAAGAATGGAGGGAGAGGGAGAGAATTGGAGGAGAGGCTGGAAGCTGCTTGATTTGTATCTTTCGAGGCAGGCGGACAAAAATGGCCCCAGATTTCGACTAACGGAAATGTGGCCACAGCTCGTGGCAGGGACCCCACCTTACGTAAGGAATGCGATTGCCTTTGTTGGAAACAGAAGAAGGGTAAAGAAGAAGCTTGTCCGCAATAGGAACTGGGGATGGATGGCCCTTTATATAGGCAGGGACGGATTCAAAAGTATAAGGCACTCTCTAGATTAGATTGAAAGTATAAGGCACAATAGAGTTGGGGCAGATGTAAGTACTCGCCGATAAAAGTCTATAATATAGCATTAGCCCGCTGTAATGTAGCACTCCTCCGCTAAATTATAGTGCACTTATGCACTCACTGTAAATCGCGAAAAGCTCCATTTCTGATATGCTTGATAAGGCGTCCCCTATTGGTACTATCTGATGTGAGACGATTGGATGGAGAGGAGGATATTGGACAAGTACCTTAGTATGATTGGGTATATTAGTATAGGTAGACTTGATAACAGGGCATGTACAGTATGCTGATAGATATATTGGTTCATCCCCATCTATATCTGTGCTGGGCGTTCTTTGGCTCAAACATTGGTATTATTCCCCCTTCGACATCCCATCCAAATGACATATTCGCAAATCAGGGGCAGGACAAAACCCAACATCACCACCAAAATCCCATCATGTGCGCCTCCCTCTCCAACCTAATAATGACAATGACAATGACAATAAACCACGGCGCACACACAATCACGGCCCTCCGAGATCCATGCCGCCCCATCCATCAAACACGTCCATGTCGGTGTCGAGGCTGCCAAACAAATCCGCCTCTGCCGACGCATCCAGCCCGCCACTGTTACCAGACGTCCCCAAGCCCAAATCAGACGAAACACCGCCCATGCCCATATCCAGGCCGCCCACGCCATCCATTGCGAGCGTGCCATCGCCCTGAACCCCCGCAGCCGCCGCCATGGAGTCTCCCACCAAGCTCGCCGCGTCACCAGCCAGGTCCAGCTGCATATCGGCCGCCTGCAGCATCGGCGGCGGCGGCAGCACCATCTGCGCCTCCACCCTCCGGTAAAGGCGAACCATGATTTCTGCCAGCTCGGCATCCTTCTTGTGCAATTTCCGATAGTCCTCGGCCTCCATCTTCAGGACTTCCCGCAGAGTGAGACGTCGCTGCAGCTGTGGCGGCATGTTGCCTGATTCATCCAATAATCCACTGATCGGTGGGAGCTCATTGCTTACGTTTGGGGCGCAAACCAGTGCCGTGACCACATCGTAAACGACACTCCCACTGCCCGTCAGCATTTGCTGGCGAATTTCCTCCAGCATGACCTGTAGAAGCCTGCGTGCGCCCACAATCTTGAGCGTGGCAATAATTTGCCGGTGCGTATACGAGGTTGGCATGGCCGTCATTTCTGGATGTATACACCACTGGACGAGGGCCTGGATCAGGTGTTTGGTAGCCCCCGATAGCCCGCTGCTGGAGCTGGTTGCCCACATCTCCAGCTCCTGGTGCTCAGCGGCCCCCGTCCGCCGAGAAAGGGGCAAGCTGTCCTTCAGAGCCCTCAGCAGTGGCTCAATGTCCTGGTTCTTGGGATCTTGTCGCTGGTATGCTCGCAGTGAATGCTCCAAGGGTTTGGCAACTATTCCCTTTACCGCAGCAAGCATGGTGCTGGCTTCGCCGGAAATAGAGGTGGGCAGCAGGATGAGCTGCAGAATTTTGATAATGGATTTCTGCTCCCTCTGTTCGACCCAGAGGTACTCGGACAAGAATCGGATCGCCGGGATCAGCGATGGAAGTAGAAACGTGTCAACCAGGTCTAGAATAATAGGTGAGTGCATGATCAATGAGCCGCCACAACCGCCAGATACTCACATTCTATGCCCGACCTAAGGGCGTCATCGGTTAGAGCGCCCTGGCTATATGCAATGACAATGTTTTCAAAGAGCGTCGCAATGAGGAGGTAGAACTCTGCAGGCGGACAAGAAGACATCAAGTCATCACCTAGACCTCCCGCATCGCTGTCGAAAAGCCCGTGAATCCATCCGCTGAGGTGTCCATTATCCTGCTCCGATATCTTATCCCAAGGGACGCTGACATGAGCTCGGCTGATGATTTTGGCAACGTTCGAGTCCGGTGACATGATGCCAATGTCTGCTGGAGACAAGCCATATCGGTAGGCAAACGCCAGCACCAGGAGCAGAATGGCGCCGAATTCTTCGTAGACGGGCTGATACTCGCCTTGGTCCTCGTCATATCGCCAACCGTCTAAAAGCTGGCATATAGGCTCCAAAACAACTGGCATTTTCTCGAACAGGAGGAGTACGTCTAGAGACTGGGGCTTCTGAACTAATTGGCTGCAGAGGATCTTCAGGGACATTGTTTCTTTGCTGTTGCATAGTTGCCGCAATAACTACCTTTGTTAGCATGCGAGCTCATACCATCACATCAGAGGAGGAACAAACCTCGACAAGCGCCTGGCACACCGCTCCTACATTGCCATCCATTTTATCCATGTCACGAATCAGCGCTTGTATCTTGTCCGGGTCGGACAGACAGCTCTGAACCAGCTTTTCTTTGGAATATTTTTCTTGGGAGGGCTCATATGACATTGAGCTTTCTCCTAGGATCCGCTCCACGTGTTCTCGCTCTATGAGCCCGTGGAGAGCACAGGCCGAACAAAACTCTTCTCGGACACTCTCTGTGTACGGGTTGTTATTGCGCGATTCATCAAACATGAGTGATGCGGTGGGAAACACGCTTGTGTCGACTTGAGAGAGGGCCTCAGTGATACAAAACTCGGCGGATGTCGAAAATCCGGGAGGGCAAAGCTGGGCGAGGATCAGAGGCACCTTATTGATCAAGAAGGATCGTAACAGGTGGGCGTCCCTGGGTCCTTCATTTCTGAAAACGGCGTTTGCAAGCAAGTCGAAAGAGGCCAGTATCAGATCGATTGCACTTTGCTGAGTATTTCCCTGATACCTGTTGTTCAAGTACGAAAATAAAGCATGGTCGTCTATCAATGGTCGCCCAACGAGAGAAGCACCAAGGTATATGTATAGGCCCGCCCGTGTATTAGATATGGGCAAATCCGGGATCACCAGGCTATCCAAGCCCACAGTAGAGTCTAGTAGGTCGTCCATGGCAGCATTGGCAGCTTGGTTGTTCTTATCTACCGGGTCCAATGGAGCAAGGACCTCCGTCCTAAACATTTCGAGCTTCTCAACGAACTGCGGGACAGGTTGGAAAATTTGCACAAAAGACGTGAGGCTCTCTGAGAACTGCTTTCGGGGCTCTATGCAGACTGGTAAGCACGTAAACTCGTCAGAGAGGATAAGCTACAATAATACCTTTAACGGCCGGGTGGCTAATGGCCTTAACAAGAGCCGGATTGTCGACGAGCCGAAGCAACAGAGGGACAAAGGCAGCCCGGGAGACCTCCATCTCGTGGCGAACCTGCGGATCTTGCAAGCCGCCTGCGAGCATGTCTGCCCCCAGAGGATTCGACGCGGCGGAGAACAGGGACATCCATTTTGAGATGATGTGCATGAGCTCCAATGCCGTGCGGGAGTCCTTGAGAGCAGTGCCTTCCACCACAAGCCGTATCACATGGTAGAACATGACCTCTTCGAGCCATGACGAGCTCTTCCAGCGGGTTTGAGATGACGAGAGGGTATTTTTCTCAGTCTCGCCATCTTGCCGCGTTTGTGCTTGTTCTTGATCTCGTCCCTGCTCTTTTGCTGGCCCCGGCGGCTGTGGTGGTGTCAGAGAATGCAGCGACGAATATCTATAGAGAGCGCGGAGGATGGACGCCGCATCGATGTATCGTAGCTGGGTAAGCACGGAGATGTATGGAGGGATTCGCGGGTCGGGGCTGACGCAATTGGACTTTTGCGGCTGCAGAAAGAAGTCGGCAATGATGTCGGGGGTGAGCTGGTGCTTGGCAAAGACCAGCTTGACGTAGTCCTCAAAGGGGCCGGCGTCGAGGCGCTTGGTCAAGCACTTGGAGATGAAGGCGTTCCAGTATTGGATGGAGCCGCGGAGGGCCTCGGTGGGGGAGATGCGGTTCTCCATGGCTCGGCGCGCTCGTAGGGAGAGATGCGGAAGTGATTAGATGGTTGAATTGATGTGTCTTTGTGTGTAAACGAGGAGGTTTTCGCGGTGTCGAGCGTGCAAGGTTGGCTGGTATCGGAGCTTGTCATGAACTGTTCGGTGCCCTGGAAGGGTGAGCAGGCCAGTTCACCACAGCCATAGGGCCTGTGTGTGTCGATGGGGGTTGTTTGTTTGTTTGTGGCTGAGACAAGCTTTTCGTCTTCCTCTCCCGCCGCGCTTCGCTTCTCTTCTCTTCTCTCCTCTACCTTGGCAGCGATGTGGATGAGGCTGCAAGAATCAAGAATCAGCCTCGCGGGTCGTGGCGTCGCATCGTGTCGCTCAATTAGTACCAACCGGAAGGTGCTCTGCTTTGTACTTTGTACTTTGTACTTTGTACCATGGAAGATGCGGGTGGGTCTCCGCGTTTGTGGGTCTGGCAGACTGTTCCTTCCACATTAGGACGCAGACAATCATGGCATCAATCTTATGAGCGGAAAGATGGAAAAAACCTTGAAGGTATTAAGAGTAGAAGATACAGGTAAGTACTTCATTGCAACAAGGTTAACACAAGGTAAGGTAGTACCTAGGTTTAGCTACCTACTACCTAGGTAGTATGAATGCTCGCATTGCCAAGTACACATTGTATTCACGAGTAGCAGCACCCATCACTCTGCTCACTTATAACTGATGGTATCACATTCCAAGGCCTCACCATTTCATCAATTTTACGCGGCATTGTGAATCAGAGCTGACTTTATTTCACTCTACATAAGACTTATTTCTACGATAAGTTTCATGGATTCACTCAAAAACTCACAGGACAACCGATTACCACCAATAAACTATTTATTTCCATCCTGCTCCAGATGTTGCTTCGACTCGTATAAGCCAAAGCAGCACCATGGCAACACTGCAATTACCAACACTATACAATAACCCCATATGGATATCTTTGGAGAAAGCAATTGAAAACAGAAGAAATGGATATCTAACTAAAGAAACAAAAAAGACAAAAGAAAACAGGACAAGAGAATCCCGCAGGTTCTCTTAGATGCACGACGAAATATCGGCCACACGGCGTTCTATGGTATAACACGCCCCCTGCATCAACACAGAAGCTTCGTCTCGCCTTCTAGCAGCTCAACCCTTTTTTCGACTTTTATTCCCACGGCTTACTTCTCGTACGTCGTCATCAAAGTCTTCTTGCCAGCGGCAATGAGGTGGGCATAATCAGTGCCCAGGAACCGGCCCTTTGCGTAGTGGATGAGGAAGCTAAAGACCTTGAACGAGCCCATCTGGCCAGTGCCGCGGCTTCTGCCCAGCGTGATGCCGACCATGACCTTGGTGCTGGGGGTGTAGGCGGGCATGGCGCCGCCCTTGAGATGGATGGGAAGAGCCTTGATGAGGTGGACGGCCTGCGCATCTGCGACGCCGGCCTTGCTCCCCTCCAGGTTGCCAATGTCGCCAAGGACAAAGATGTTGTCGTAGCCCTTGGCCTGGAGAGTCGCGGTCTGGTTGATGTAGCCCTCGCTGTCCAAGAGAGCGGCCGGCACAAACGAGCTGTTGGGGGTGCCTCCGGTGGTGGGGATGTAGGCCTGGGTCGTCAAGGTCTTGGTCTTGCCGTCGGAGCTCGTCAGCGTCAAGATGGTGTCGTTGCCCGAGTACTCGACCGCGGTGACCTTGGTGTTGGGGACCAGCTTGACCTTGAGCTTCTCCAGCTCCGTCTTTGTCTGCTTGCGGACGCTGTCCATGACGGGCGGCGCGAGGGGGAGTGAGTCGTTGTAGATGAAGTACACTTCCTTTCGGCCCTCCTTGGAGTACTCAAAGCCCAGCTCGCCCGCGGTCTCGGCGCCCGTCTGGCCACCACCGACGATGACAATGCTCTTTGCGTTCTTGATCTGCTCCTGCACCTCGCGGAGACGGCTCTTGGTGTGCTCGGTGTCGCCCATGGCCTTCCAGGGCATGTTGTCCTTGGACGAGGTGCCGGTGGCAACAACGAGAGTGTGGTAGTTGACGGTGCGGCTGGCACCGGAGCTGAGCAAGACGTCGACGGTGTTGCTGGCAGGATCCATGGCACTGGCGACGCCCTGGACAAACTCAAACTTGTCGGCGGGATATTCCTTGAAGAAGGGTCGGAGGTCAATCATGGCCTTGTCGTCGGCCAATTGGCCGGGCACAATGACTCGTGGCATGGCGATAGGCCAGTGGAAGTGAGTGTTTGGGGCGACGACAATCATGTTGAAGTCCTTTTCCTTGAGGACAACGTTGCGCATGGTCTGGCGGATCAGAGGCGCGGCAGCAACGCCAACGCCCAAGACGACAATGGTCTTTGTCATTTTGGGTGAGATTTTCTTTGAATCTTCCTTGGTCAAGATTTAGACTCTGGTGTGGTGTTGTGAGGAGGTGGGCAGGGGTATATATATCTGTATGAGTAGATGGTTGGTGGTGTTATACCGGAGAAATAAACACTGCTGCGGAGGTAGGGCTTGGGAGGAGGCACATGCTCAAGCACGGGCACCAGGCTGAATATATACCAGATGTATGATCTGTGTTCTCCGCAGCCCCTATACCCTTGATGGACAAAAGCAAAAGCCGTCCAAGCAACACCAAATTTGCATGAGTACGTGCCACTTACACGCGAAACGTTAGGCTGGAATACAAAAGACCCATGCCGGGCAGGATGCAAGATTACGATATCCAGGCCAGGCTCAGGACGTCACACAGCTGCTCATGAGACGAGATTAATAATATTTCGGCTTCTTCCAGATGTGCGATCCTCCGCCGGGAGATGAGAATTTTGCATCTTGTCTCTTGCAGACGCGCGCGCTACATCTCACTTCGAAATGCACTAGCAGTTCTCCCAGACCCGCTGTACATGGTTGTACCTAATCTGATCGAGCAAAAACGGCAAATGAGATTGAGGCGGATATGGAATCTTGGGTGCTGTACTGTACTCGTGTAATCCGGAATAGAACCAAAATCAGGTTCCGAAGAGACTTGAGGCCGCGCCATTCCCGGGATTGTACACTAGGATTTAGAAGACCAGAAGACCAAACAATTCAATTCCTGCTTCCTTCTCATTCCTCCATCCCGTATCTAATAGTCCAATACCCAAAACGTGACAAAGTAAACAATTGAACCAACACAAATTCTCAACCCTCAAGGGATGTGATGCTTGTTGGATGAGCATCCGTGATTAAACTGACAACCGCGCGGTGAGCTAACAGCTGAGTGATCGCCATGACCGTCAGCCAATCAGCGTCGTTAGCGCCGGCTTCCCGCTCGTCACGCCTGCGGAGTTTGACATTAGAGTACATGTAATGGATCTCTGTTATTATGCCAGAGAGCTATAGTAGCTACCTATACAGCACTGGCGGAGAGAAGCTTTCATCAACCAAGAGATTTTGCTTTGTCCCATTGGCAATGCTTACCAAGGTCGGGAGGTGACTCAATTTTTCCAGCCTTGACCATGGGTCTAGAATCTGTATGCTTTTTCTTTTCTTCTTCTTCTTTTTTTTTTTTAAATCTTTAGCTTGCGGAGTTGAAGTGCTCTCATAATATCTTCTTTTTTTTCCACCGACGGCGCAATCTCTTTTGGAAGACGGTCCGGTTCCGAATGCAGCTTACCCGGGACTTTACCTCAATCAGTCAATTTGCTGTCTCGTGGCATTGGAATGCTGATTACAATAGCATCACTAACATAAATGATGCATTACAGATCTTGTCTGCTCTTTTCCAAGTATAGAGCAGAGGGGTTGTGGTTGTGGTTAGTGCACATGTCGTGGCCGAGATAGCTGACCCATGTGATTTGCTCGTGTCCAACAATCCTGTTGCTCATCTCATTGAGCTTCATTCTCATCTTCGCTCACCCATCCATTTACCTACCTACCCAACTCGCCTTATTCGAGTGCGCAGAAGACAGTGGCGTCCATCTATTGCTCTTCATTTTGCAGCAGAATAATGCCAGTCTCCAGCCTTTTTCTTGATGGGTCTCATAGATCCTTGCCGTTCTAATGAGATTGCCATGACTGCAAACTCTAGATTCAGCAGCTCCCTCGCGGGAGGCGGCTTTCATCAATTGCATCTCTGGAGATATGACAACCAAAAATATTATCTGTTTTGGCACCTCCGCCAAGAGGGGGTCATGATGGCTTCTATTTAAATGGCCGATGCTGTTCCTGGCCATTTGCGCATTGGGCTGTTTCATGGCGACTTTCACGGCATGACATATTGCATGAGCTACTTCTTGTTCACCTTGTTGATTGAGCAGCTGGTCGGATTGAAGTCGTAATGACACACGTATCTGTCCGATGCAGTCATTCTCTTCTCTCCAATTTGCTCTCAGTCACCCAACACGGCGTCAAATCCATAGCGAATTCACCATCCATCAACGTCAAAATCACCACAGCTCCATCATACGAGCTATTCCCTACAAGCTTCACTAGTTATTCTCAAACGAACTCTTCCGCAAGGAGCATATTGGGGGCCTAAAAGAAGCGGCGAGATGGAAGCGTACCTACATGTAGTATGGATGGAGCGGGCCGTCGCACGGGAAGATCGATCCCGCCCTCCCAAGCCCCGACAGTGCTAAATAAGCTCCTGGGTTCGTCGAGGTATGCAAACCACAAATCTACTAGCATACACCTATACATCCGAGCTCTTGCGCAGAACTATGATATCAGTCACGTACAGGAGAGTGCTTGAAAAGGGAGGGCCTTGATCTCGTTGGTCGAGTAGCTCTCGCTAATCTCTGCGCACACACGTACCTTTTGGAGGAGGGTAAACTTGCCGGCCCAAGTCTTGTCTAACCCCCCCTCCAGCACTCTCAGAAAACCGGCACGGGGGATAGGAATAAGGGCACAGTTACACGGGGCCGCCCTCCCAAAGGCCTGTGACCGAGCCATTGAGACATGGCCAAGCACCCATCACCCAGTCTGTGACACCACGGAGGGTAAACAGGAGCCCATGACACGCCAAGTTGCGCTCGTCCGTCCCGTCGATACTTTACATGTTATTTGGAATACGGGGGAACACTGGTTGAATGAATGAACCCCCCAAGTCGCGATGGGGCAATCGAGTCGCCCCGGCCGCTTTGAAAAGGCTAGCAAAAGGCAAAGAGAGAGAAAGAGAGAGAGAGAGAGAGAGAGAGAGAGAGAGAGAGAGAGAGAGAGAGATAATCTTGGCCAAAATTGGGCTTGCGTGGGAGAGAGAAGCCAAGGGCGAGAACCTCTTCCACGCTGCTCGTAATTTTGCGCTGAGCAGGTTGGCAGGCTGTGTGTCTCTGGTGCCGCTTCTCTTCTGTCTCAGCAGGCACATCCATGGTCCTTTTTTTTTTCTTCCCACCCTTGCGTCCCCTTGACAGTCCCAGCATCCAAGATGGCGGTGTTGGGGGCGTGAAATGCGATGACGTTGTCCCCCCCAAAATGACCGCTACCCGAGTATTCGGAGTTTGTCTCGTCCGCTTCGGGCATCAGGGCCGGGCTCTCTCTCTCTCTCTCTCTCTCCCCCCCTTGCTTTGGGGGGGGGGGGGGGGGGGGGGGGGGGAGACAAGGGCGGCTCCAGCTGGGTGCTAAATACCGACAGGTTGGTAATTAATCTGGCCTGTGTGCTGTGAGAGGTGAGAAGGAGAGGCTTGTGCAACAGTTGTGACGGGTGATGCTGTCACACCAAAGCGGCGGGCCCACGGATGACGGCCAACGGGGTCAAGAGTACTACTACTGCTATACCTGATGTATTGATGTTTTTACGAGGTACGGTTCCTGTAGATGTTTTTGTGCCTTGTTTACTGACTTCATGTTATTTCCAGTAGGATACGAGTACATGTACCTACGGTAGAACGCGAACTTGTCACGTTTCCATGGACCCAACGCTTCCGGCTCTCGCTGAGATGAACGTGCCGCCATGCCAAACCACCGGCTACGTCCCGTCTGTTTCTGTTTGGCTGCTTGTCTTTCCTACTAAACCACCTTAGCGCCTGGTAGCATCCATGCCTGTTGCTGGCATTCGATCGGTAGCAACCGGTATTTGGGGCTAAATCTTTGAGCCTCCCGCTCCCCTCCCCCCCCCCCCCCCTGAGTTTGCGTGTACTCGCACTCGAACGGACGCGCTGCTACATGTACCTACTTTACCTTCAATGTTACTGCCTACTATTACCTACCTACCTAGGTATTGAGTCGTATAGGCACTGTGGATAGGTACATGTAGATTTGTGGCTTCGTTGCATCGCCCTGCTGCTATTCCTGTGCCTGTGCCTGCCTGTTCCTGTTCCTGTTCCCGCTTCAGCTTCTTGCGAGTGCCCGTGCATCTCATCCATCCATCGTATCTCGTACAGCACCGGGCCGACCCCTTACCCCTGTGCCTGTCCTTGTACCTGTGCTTATTCTTATTACTGTACCAGTGCAGCTTATTATACGGAGCACCAGCTTTGGCTGGCTTGCCGCTGCTGTGCCTGGTAGGTACGTGTATATAAATCCATGGCACTTTGGCCACGGGCATGTCCCCTGTACATGTACCGGCAGCCAGCACCTGCACCTGTGCCTGTAGCGGTGCCTGTGCAGATCAGATACAAGTACACGCTACAAGAAAACGAAACGCGCTGCTCCTACTTGCACTCGTACATGTACCTTGTCAACTGTAACTGTATTCCATCCCAGCAACTGGGCAGGCGGCCTGTGGGGGGAATGTCTGACTTTTGACCTCCAAGGTTCTGATTTGTGTTGGATCGATCACTTCTCACGCCCGAAATCTTTCGGGATTTCGTCGCCAGCCAACCACAACGCTGGACTTGCCCTCCCCACATCGACATGCGCGCTGGTACAGGCACCAAACGGTCCCGTACTCGCTAGTGCGACTCGAGGTAGCTCGATACAGCGAGGGCACCAACGTCGGGCCCAAGCGCTGGTAGCTCGATACTTGAGCGCTGCTCCCACCTGCGCCAGCGGCATCGAGTATCGCGCTTCCGCACTAACTGACGGCCACAGGTACTGCGCTTGTACCTGCTCGATTCAGAACACGCAGACCCGTCACAATGCTATACCTCAGGCACAAGTCCCTGTACGCCCGCTGCAGATCTATAATCCAAACCCGCCAGGGCATCCCGGTCGTCGCCCGTTGTGCTAAACTCACACCCCACCCCCCCAAACCAAATCTCTGGCCTTTGGCTTTTCTGCTTTCTGCTGCTCTTTCGCAAGGCCCAGGAAATTGCCCGGCCTGCTTAGCTTTTCTCGATCCTGCGTGTTATAAAGATTCGCTCCCTCCCGATTTGACTGCGTTGGCCCCGGCAAATCTCGATTCGATTCGATTCCAGTTGTCCCGATAGTTTGTTTCTATAACTTTGTTTTGGCCTCGTCTCATTCTAGCCGAGTCCCTACCGTGCCTATACCTTATATCTTGCTTACATTGACTTGGGGCATCGTTTCTTCTTCTTCTTCTTCTTCTTCTTCTTCTTCTTCTTCTTCTTTCACCACACATAACCACTCTCTACCTATCACACACTCTCACGCAACATCACACCCATAATACCCATCCCTTGTCAAAAAGAAGAAGAAAAAACGAGCATCACACCATGACTGCCGTCTCTCCTCCCCTCGTCCCCCGGGAGGTTGACTTCATCTCCACCGAGGAGCTCATGGCCATGACTCCTATGCAACTTCGAACCCTCGTCATGAGGAGCGGCATCCTCGAGTCGAGAAAGGGCCCTTGGTCCCCCGAGGAGAGCCACCGCCTGATTACGCTGGTGCGGTTGATGGGCCCCCAGGACTGGGTCAGCATCGCCTCGTACATGGCTTCTCGCAACGCAAAGCAGTGCCGCGAGAGATACCACCAGAACCTCGACCCGTCTCTGCGGCACGACCCCATCTCCGAAGACGAGGCCCGCCACATCATGGACCTGTACGCAAAGTACGGCACGGCATGGGCCCGCATCGCTGAGCATCTCCCGGGACGCAGCGACAACGCCATCAAGAACTACGTCAACGGCCTCGTCAACAAGACCAGACGGGCCGAGGAGCGCCAGGCAGGCCATCATGCCAGTGCCAGGAGACGGGGTTCTGGGCAGTCTACCCTCTCTGGTGCTTCTCCCTCAGCCCCAGTGTCCGCCGTTATCGCTTCGTCTTCTTCCCCAGGCGGCATGGTCCTTACTCCGTCATCATTCGGTTCCCAAGCACTGGAATCGCCAACCTTTTCCGACATGACCGACTCGGACGGCATCAACAACTACACTTTGGCATCGACTTCCCCCTGGGGCCAGTCTCCGGCAGCAGTGCCTCACGCATCTCCTGCTCATCATCCCACACACTACCACCAACAGGCCCACGAGGCGTCCGTCTTTGGACAGAATGGCCATGGCTACATCCATCAGCACGATGGCCAGCGTCCCGTGTCTGGCTCCTCTGACTCGTGGTCCTTTCTGGGCTCGGCCTCTCAGTATGCCAGCACGGACCTTGCCCGATACTCCATCTCGGGCCCAGCTTCACGAGAGCTTACGAGAGACTTGATGATGCAAAACCATGAACTGCCCAGGATCCAGCCTCCGTGGGCAGAAAACCAAATGTCGCGCACGGCAATCATGCCGTCTCCAGAGCAGAGTGTCGCCGTCCCACCAGGTCACCAGGTCGACCCGAGGATGGCCATTGCGAACCTGTTGGTGTAGGACCCAACAACCAGCTTTGGATGCCTTGTTCTTTTTCTTTCCACCCTTCCCTTTTCTACCCCTTTCTTATAATTTCCTTCATCTCGATATTATTCCTCATCCTTTCCCTCTTATTTTCTCGTGTATCTTTTTCCTTTGTCTGATCCTGGGTCTATTTCTTTGCATATTTTTCTATGTACTAGCCGGCTTATATCATGGTAGAACAGCCTTCAGATGGCAGCGTTTTGTTTGGGAATATCAATGCCTGTCGCTTTAGGCGACACTTGGCACTGCGGAAAATCAGTCACATCACGATGGACGGCGCTCTGGGTTACAATAGCATCCTCTCCACGACGAGGGCGATGCAAGGAAAATGCGTGTTTTTTTTGTGTGTTTGTTTTTGACACTTTGAATTTTCTTGTCTATATTCAAAATACCCCAACTTGTCAAGGAGCAACGTGTTCTCCTTCTTTTGAATACGTTTCCTTGACTTTTGTTGTTGAGTTGGTGTGATTTGGCTTGGCTTGGCTTGGATGGAAATGGGGCTGGTTCTGCGGTAGCTTGCAAGGCTCTTTAATTACCTGTCGGGACCTGTAATGACACTGTGGATCAACTGAAAGGGCCTGGATTTTTCTGTATCAATACTAGTAGAGTTGGAAAAATCAACGAGACGTCTTTTCTCAATTTCCTAACATTAACATACCTCTTGTACATGCATTACCAAGTACCGGGTCTTGTTTGTGGGTTGCCCTTTAAAAAACGCCTCTTTTCGAAATCACCCGAAATGCGCTCTAATTTAGTCGCCCTGAACAGAGTTTGGCCCAACCGTTGAAACAAAAACCAAGTCCGAGGAGCAATTGAAATTCATTAGATAATCAAGTTGAGCGGAGTCCAACTCGAATGAAAACCCCTGGACAGCTGTACAGTCACGTTCGTCTGGTGGTATTTCTGCTGTTAGATTACGTCAGGAAAAGACCAGGCTCCTTGCGTTATCTGTACGTGACCAGAAGCGGAAGTTGAAGGCAGGCAGCTTTCAAAAAACGACGCAACTTGGGGCCGGGAAACGCCCGATCGCGAGCGTGCATCCCTTTTGCAGCGATCTGGCACCAAGAGAAGCATCGGGGAACGCCTCAACGGCTGGGCGGGTCCCCCAGTTTTGAACGGCCGGGGGGGGGGGGGGGGGGGGG